CATGTCTACCCTGGGAGGGGGAAAAAGAGGGGACCCCCCCCGCCCATGCCCTCCCTGCCCCTCACTTGAGCATGGTGACGCCGGCGGGGGTGGTGGGGACGTTGTAGCGCCGCATGTACTCGTGCATCTCGGGGAAGCTCTTCTTGATGTACTCCTCGGCGCTGCTCTCCCACACTGTGCCGAAGCGGAAGCCCTGCGAGGGGTGATGCAGCTGGAAGGAGGCACAGAGCATCAGTACCCCCGGCCCGGGCGGGAACAGCCCCCAGCTCCCCGGGGACCCGTCCCCGCGCCCTGAGCACGCGCAGCCCCGGGCGGGGGGGTCTAGGCAGCCCGTGGAGATGCAGCAGCTCTTGGCCCCCGAGGGCAGCCCCAGTGTGAGCACAGCCCACTTCTCCCCCGGCCCTGGAGCTGAAGCCAGGCTTAAACACCAGGGTGAGGGGGACACAAAGCTTCCTGGGGGCCTGGGAAGACCCCCCACAGCCTCAGGAGGGGCTGTGCTGCAGGACCGGGGCTGGGGAGACCTTTCGCGTCCATCCCAGCAGGGAAGGCGCAGCAGGAAGGACAGACCCCCCCCTCCCCACCTCACCCCCGCTGGAGCAGCCCAGACACTCTCCTACCTTTGGGTCGTGGATGCCCGAGAGCTCCTCAAAGGTCTTGTCCCCCACCATGACGGCCGCGAGGTTGGCCGTGTAGCTGGAGAGCACCAGGAGGCAGAAGATGGCCCAGAGGTTCATGAGGAAGCGGCCAGTGCAGCACTTGGGCGTCTTGCTGGAGACGGTGCGCCCAAAGAGGATGGCGTAGCAGAGGTTGAGGGCTGAGGAGTAGGAGAAGATCTTCATGCGGTTGCGGCCGTGGGGGGTCATGCCGTAGGGGCTCTTCCACTCGTACAGGGTGAGGAAGAGTGCCGTCATGTGCAGGGCCACGAAGATGCCCACCCACATGGTCCAGTGCAAGGGCCACATGAAGGCCCCGATAGGCGACGCCGTGTCCTTGGTCCTCACCAGGATGCCCAGGCTGGTGGAGAAGAAGGGGCTGGTGAAGTCGATGACTTTGCTTCGCGCCGAGTTGATGCTGAAGGAGGTGACGGCCATGTGGGCCGTGCCACTGAGCAGGTCCCCCACCAGCCCTGTCCAGCGTCCGTTCTTCCAGGCCCCGTATTTCCCATCACCCACGATGTAGAGCTCGAAGTCGAAGGGCACGTCCTCGGCCAGCTTCTCCAGCAGGTCGATGCAGTACCCATAGCAGCACTTCTTGTAAGCCCGCGGCACCGAGCCGTTGTCGGCGCTGAGCTCCTCGAAGAGGGCGTCCAGCACGGCCGAGTCGTTGGTGCCGGGGTCCAGGCAGAGCTGCCCAGCCGGGCAGCTCCCGTCCTCATCCGCCTCCCTGGTGAAGACGAAGGGGTGCTCCACCAGCGTCACCACCCGCAGCCTCACGCGGGCCCCCCCGGCGCCCTCGCCGGGGCTCTTGCGCTGGCGGTGGCTCTGCCACACGCTCTCCTCCAGCTCCAGCTTGCCGTGCCGCCAGGTGCCCACCGTCACCCAGGTGGGCTCCCCCCGTGGGTCCCGCCGCAGGCTCCCGACGCGGTACCGCTGCTCT